ACATAGTTTTTTTTTTTTTTTTGTAATGGAACCAGACATAGTGACATTATCAAGAATGTCTAAATAAACACCGTAAAAGCAAATTTTAAGTTGTTTATTAAAGGGTTAGTTCACCCAAAAATGAGAATTATTTCACCTATTTACTTCAAACGCAAAGTCTTTTATTCATCTTTGAAACATAAATGAAGATATTTTTAATATTATCTCATTATTTTTGTCCATCCATTGAAAGGCCAAGCAACCAAAACTTTCAAGCTTCAGAAAGTTCATAAAGACATCCATATGTCCGTAAAAAAAATCCATATGAATCAAGCCGTTTTATTGAAGTCCTCTGAAGAGACACAATCGCTTTATATGATGATACTCAAATTCCATGTATTGTCAATGTTTTTATAGACTTGTTTACACAGTATATTTTGTGAAATGTAAAAATATACCATCATCAAATCTCATTATCAAAGTATCATTGTAAATGGTGTTTTCACACATCTTTTTAAATTTATTTTAATGGTTTTGCTGTAATTAAAATGTGTTAATATTAATTTATTAAATATATGAACTGTCCCTATATCTCTGATGAACTATGAGAGCAAGCCAAAAAAAAACATTTAAATTGGATAAGCACATAATGGCCTTAGGAACGGTCCGATGCTCTCGTTAATTTATAAATGTTTTTATGTCCAACTGAGGTAATGCTTTTAGGAAGCGTGCCATAGAAATTAAGTACTTATATGAGACCAGTGTTCTGCTTAGCATTTTAAGAAACCCAGCCAGAACCTGTCATTTCTCATAAGAGCTCCATTCATCCATCCATCCATTGGTCCCAGTTCCAGCAGCAGCTGCAAAGTGTTAACTGTTGCTGTGACTCGGCAGTGCACCACGATCATGGAACAGCATGGGAATCTCACGCTAATCAACACCTGTATGTGTTCGTGGAGGAGATGTGAGAATTCAGCACATTCATAGCAGCCCTCCTTTTTTATGAACTATCTCTCAGCAGTCAGATCAGTATGGCATATCCAGTGTATCTCAGATGACTTTATTAAAAGGATAGTTCACTCAAATTATATGCATAAATACATTAAGGGAGATGCTGTTTGCATTAGGTAAAAAAATTATAGATAAAAAAATGGCAGAATAAGTATTCTCTATGCAATAAATGGTAGATAGATGCTATTTAAACCTAGTGCATGTACTTGCAGATACAGTCTGTGTATTGTAGTTCATTATAAAACAGTAAGCAGTAATTACAACATATTCAGTGTAAATGTTATATTTATTAAAATCATAAATGGACAGGACCACACTTGTCCCTGTTCCTAAAGCCCACCCCTACACCTACCCTTAGCCATTACCATATTGAACCTGCTGACCAGTAGAGGTTTCCTTGCTGGTCCAGGAAGGGAGCCGTAGTTTTGAGTGTGGTGAAAATGTGAGCTGCATGCATCATGGTCGATGTGCCAGCCCGTTCGATCAACGCGAGGACACCACATCAAATTTAATCTATAGACCTACTGTATTATATACCTGTTAACCACTTTATTGTCACTATTAAATACCCGTTAGGCACTTTCTTCATTTTTATTATTTTTTTATTATTATTTTTTTTTTTAAATGATATTTGCCGCAAGAAAAGGGAGAAGAATGGAATCGGTAAAAAGGCAGATTTGAACTTGAGTCTATATGGATTATATATTTAAAGGGGACATCGGATGCCCTTTTTCCACAAGTTGGTATGATTCTTTTGGGTCTTCATGAAATGTCTGTAACATACTTTGGTTAAAATTCCTCAAAACCACACCGTTTTTACCGTGTCAAAAACAGCTCTGTTCACAGCCAGCCGTTTCGGTGCCTGTCTCTTTAAATGATAATGAGCTACTGCTCACCCCACCCCTCTCTTTCGTGGGACTTGTCGACACAAGACGCGTGCATTGCTGCCTTGGACTCCGTATATGGCTCGGAGGTGGTCTTATTCAAATAGCTAGCTATCTGCGTAGAAACCGGCTGCAGATTGAAACAGCTCGCTGGATGACACCGTTTCAGACTCAGACAGCTCATAACAAACTGGCTGTGTGTTTTCTTTTCAGCTTTTCTGAGCTGGCAGACTCGCCAGAAACCGAATTAAATGTGAAAAAAATAAAAAAGAGAAAAATTAATCCGATGTCCTCTTTAAATATTTAAAGGTGTAGTGTGTCATTTTGTATTCTAGTTCAAGATACAGTTAAAGAGGAAAAATAGCTATATACTGTATATATGTGTGTGTTTCAGAAGTGTTTCTGAATTCAGTCAGTGCTGCAATATGTAAAAATAGAAAATTCGAAAGAAGAAAAGACATTTGATGTATTCGTAACTAGTTTCTTATCATGCTTATCTAATGTCATGTTAAACTATTATCCTATAACGTATCTGATAATTGAATTAATATATTGTGTATTTGTTTTTTTGTTTTTTTAACAAGGTCAACCTACAAAAACCAAAAAGACGTGTGTTTTGCGAAATTTAATAAAGTTAATCCTTAATATACTACATTATTAGATCATGTTGCAGCCATTTTGGATTTAAGACTAATGATTCAAAATGTAATTAAGTTTGAAAATTGTGTAGTTTATTGTTTAAAATTTGTATTTGTATGATTATTGCTTTGAATGTTATGAATGGGAAAGGGTATTTAGGAAAGGTTGTAAGGGTTAATTGAGGTGAAGTTCCAGATTAAGGGAGCGGATACAATTTTCAGACCATGTTTGGTAAAAAGAAGGCTATTGCTCCTCTGTGTTTCTATTTTTTTTTCTTTGTTATGGATTCCTGGTTCATTTTCTTCTTGAAAACAAATGAAAGATAAAGAATCCTACCCTACAGCGTCACACAGCTATTGAGCTCCTCATTTGGACAGCGGCTCACTAGTGATGTGCCACTATAGATCATGTTGGGCATTTATTTTAATGTACTCTCAAGTTTTTATATAAGCAAGCCTTTAGTAAAACAGGTCTATAAAGGTGATATTATGTGCTTTCAGATCACTCAATAAGTCTATTTGTCACGTCCGGTTCTCCGTCTCATTTGAGGCCACTGTCCTGAATGCTGAATGAATAGTGAATGTTCTGACAGCTTTCAAGCGTCTGATGACCAAAGCCACATAGGAGGTGGCTCTATATCTGTGACGTCATCTCTATAGAGAGACTCTACCTCAGGACAACTAACCTTGTGACAGCGAGTCTAGACCGAGCGTCCGTGTCTGTGAGAAACACTGAGTTACGATGAGATGCATTTCAGGCCATGACAATGGCTGCTTTCATCTCCAGACCGCAATAACAGGAAACTGCCCACCAGACGGTCCAGCTCAATTTAATCCGAGGGCTGATTTTATAGGTTTTGTCAGTTAACACCATGACACTCGCTGTTTATTTCGGTCTGTCCCTACTTGCCTTCAGATGTGTAATTTAAAAGTGGTTGAGAAATTTTATGCCACAGCATATTGTTGCTGTGGTGCATCATCTTTTTTTTTTTTTTATGGAGAGTTAAACTAAAGTTTTTAATAGTTCAAGTCTTATTTCTGTAATATAATAACTGAGTATGACTGCTGAATTTGTTTGTAGTATTCAGTATTGTTTTAGCATACTTGTTTTTTTTTTTTAGATCTGGTTCCTTTTTTTTTCCACGTTTAGAAACCAAATGAACTCCATGATGTTGGATTCAAAAATGAACATCCTATCATCATTTACTCACCTCATGCCGTTCCATACCTGTTTGACTTACTTTCTTCTGTGCCATACAAAAGAAGAAATTTTAAATAATGTACTGGCTGTTTATTTCCCAGGAAATTACAATGAATTAGGGACTGGACTGTTCATGAGAGAAGTAGTGGTGTGTGTGTGTGATTCACTAAATGATTTAGACTGGTTTGTGAACTGGTTAAACCTGGTGAAAAATACAACAATAAAAACCATTTAAAAATGTAAAAAGAACTATGTCTTAGTTATACTAAAACAACACTTAATTTCTAGGCTTAATTTTCATCTTTAGTAAGTTGCGCTTAGATATGACATTATTGTAATCTTAACCACAGTTTATCAACACCTGATCAGAGAAATGACTAATCTGTGAGCGTCATGGTGAAGAAATCAGTGCTGTTGGATGTATATTTGCGTCCTGCTGGTGGAGCCCCACCTAGACGGGTAGGAAGGATGTTTGTGGTGGCGCGTCTGAGGTTGAAATAAAACCACTTCCTCTTCCTGTGTTTCCAGTCGACGTCTCAGACTTCACTTGTGGTCTCTTAATGTGGTTCCAACACTGCTCTTAATTAATTAGCGAGCCTCTGTTCCTGATGGCCTCAGACTCACATACACACTCTTTACTGTACAGGCCTCTAAAAGTCACACTTTGCCCGGCTGCGTGGGCAGGGCTGCTGTCAGGGGGCTTCACTGTTTATAAATAGACGGAGCTGTCCAGTGGGATTAGGTGGCGATGCAGCTCGAGCACAAGCTATTGTCAGCGATACAATATCAATGTGCCAGAGATCAGCGAGGTCACAGATCTTGACATGGGCATATCCTATTCATTTTGACAGATGAATGGACTGGCTTCACCACCTCTTGTTCTCATATAGTCATCAGTGATCAGGTGCCTTTGGTTATGCCAGCCCCCTGAAACATATCATGATCATAATAACAAAGATTGACAGTTGCTGTGACTGTAATGTCTGTGTTCAGGTCACCTGCTCTATTGTTTACTGCCTATTATTTGTATTTAATAAGAAGTGAAACAGTAGTCATTAAGAACCCTGATTGAATATAAACTTCAGTCACTTGTGTCTAATGTTCAGATCCCTCAGTAGGATACACTACCAGTTTAGAGTTAGTATAAATTGTTAATGTTCTTGAAAGAGGAGTCCCTTATGCTCAACAAGACTGCATTTATTTGACCAAAAATAGAATAAAAATATATATTATATTATAAAAAATATAATATTAGGGCTGAACAATTTATCAAAATAAAACTGAAATCGCAATATGGCTGTGTGCGTTTATTAAATTGCGAAGGCTGTGATTTAATTAAATAAATCTGTGTGCTGCATGTTTCATTGTGAAGTAGCACAACTATAAAAGAATTAGAATTTTCAGCAGTCTTCAGTGTCACTTGATCCTATAGAGAAACTCAAGAAACATTTCTTACTTTTCTTATAACTGCTGAAAATAGTTTTGCTGCTTAATGTTTTTTGTGGAAACCGTGATAAATGTCTTTTTATGTCACTTTTGATTAATGTATTGCATCATTGCTGACTAAAAGTTTCAATTTATTGGAAAAAAAATTTTTAATGGTAGTATACAGTATATATGTGTGTATATATATATATTTATTTATATATATATATACACACACTCCCATTCAAAGTTTTTATATATATATATATATATATATATATATATAAATTAAAACTTTACATACTGTATATATAGATAGATAGATGCTGATCTTCTACACAGATCCATCTTTCCAGTCCACCCATCATTCCGGATCATCGCTCTAGCGGAGCCGCCTCAGGTCGGGAGCACCACGCAGCAGTGGCTCGGCCCGGAGATACTCACCATGTTTCTCACCATCAAACCACTGGCCAAGGCTGAGGAAACTGCCGTTATCCAGGGCATGGTCAGTCACATCTCCTTCAGACTGATCTATTATGTCAAATTCAGTAATCTGTTTGATTAAATATGCTTACACCCAACATGTTTACGAACTGCATTTTGTGTTGAATCAAATTATCATATAGCTTTGATGCTTGCTTTTTGGACTGGAGTCTTGTATACATATTATTTTTATAACAGATCCCAAATGTCCCCAAAGAAGCAGTAGAACAGCTGCAAAACCTGACTCACAGTCTGAGAAAATCCAACGATCTAACGGTGAGCTTTCCAGTTTAAGTTCCCTAAAACCTTCGAAGAACAAATCGATGCCTTCAGCACTTACTTATTTGTTAAGGGTTCTTGTTTAGACAACACAACATAGGTTTTCTTGTTTTAGAAAGTGCGTAGTCTGCTGCTAACTGGTGTTTAAGTTAGCTCTGTCCCAGAAACCTTAAATATGTAATGGAGCGCATCAGCGATTGTCCTCTTTTACAGTGGCCTTGGTTAATATTTTTCCAATAAAGGGATTTTTTTTTTTTATTCTTAAAGGGATACTCCACCCAAAGATGAAAAATCTCTAATCATTTACTCTCCCTCATGCCGTCCCAGATGTATATGACTTACTTTCTTCGGATGAACACAAACTGAGATTCTTATAAAAAATTATTCATCTTCATGACTCCATATGATGTAAATGTAAAGAACCTCCAAAGATGACAGACACTTTAAAAACCACACTAATTAAAAACAATGGTAATCCATACAACCCCAGTGGTTGAATTAGTGTCTTCTGAAGTGAAACGATTGTACATCATGCTTCACAATGTGTTGACTTAAACACACTTTTCCTTACAAACATCTGTCGTTTCACTTTAAACAACATTTTTATGTTCATGTTTTGCTTTGCTTTGTTTTTGTCAGACTCTGTTCCATGTTTTGTGTGTGTCCTGCTCCCCATGTGCCTTCCCATGCCCTTATTTGGTTAGTTTCCTGTTCCTCCCCTGATTAGTGTTTCATTGCTCCCAGGTGTGTCTCGTCATCCCCTCCTCCTGTGTGTATAAATAGTGTTCCCAGTCCCAAGTTC